TGCCCTATCAAAAGGCAAAAGCAGTCTCTTTATTCAACCAATGGAAGCAACACACAAACAGAAGGACCTCCTACACCAAGGGATTGTATACAGGATTGTTTTGGCTATCTGCTTTTTTTTTTTTTTTTTTGCTTTTCCATATGAAGTTGAGTATTGTTCTTTTGAGGCCTGTGAAGAATTTTACTGGGATTTTGATGGACACTGCATTGAATCTATAGGTTGCTTTTGGTAGTATTGCCATTTTTGCTATATTAATTCTACCTATCTAAGAACATGGGAAATCTTTCCATTTTCTGGTGTCTTCTTCAATTTTTTTCTTCAAAGATTTAAATTTCTTGTCATACAGGTCTTCTACTTATTTGGTTAGAGTTATTACAAGATATTTTATGCTATTTGTGGCTATTGTAAAGGGTGATACTTCTCTGATTTCTTTCTTATCTATTTATAATCTGTGTAAAGGAAGGCTACTGATTTTTTGAGTTAATTTAGTATCCTGCTATATTATTGAAAATGTTTATGAGTTATAGAAGTTTCTTGGTAGAATTTTTGGGATTGCTCATGTAAACAATCATATCATCAGCAAATATTGAGAGTTTGACTTCTTTTCTGATTTATAACCCCTTGATCTCCTTTTGTTGTCTTATGGCTTTAGCTAGAACCTCAAGAATTATATTGAATAGATATTGAGAGAAGGGTCAACTTTGTGTTGTTTCTGATTTGTGGGATTGCTTTCTCTCCATTTAGTTTGTTGTTTGCTGTTGGCTTGCTGTATATTGCCTTTATTATGTTTAGGTATGTTCCTTGTATCCCTGCTCTCTCCAAGACCTTTATCATAAAGAGATATATTTTGTCCAAGGCTTTTCAGCATCTAATTAGATGGTCGTGTGGGTTTTTTTTCATTTTGTTTATATGGTGGATTATATTGACAGATTTTCATATGTTGAAACACCCCTGCATATCTGGGATTAACCCAACTTGATCATGGTAGAATACTTTTCTGATGTGTTCTTAGATTCAGTTTGACAGTATTTTATTGAGTATTTTTGTATTAATAGTCATGAGTGAGATTAGTCTGTAATTCTTTTTCTTAGTAATGTCTTTCTGTGCTTTGGGTATCAAAATATTTGTAGCCACTATTGTTCTTTAAAAAGATATGATGGGATGTCCCGAGCGGTCTGTGAGCCAGGCAGAGGCTGCCAGAGCAGTGCAGATTCCCCAGGCAAGTGGCAGAGTCAGGCAGCTAGATGCAGTGGATGGCGACAGAGTAAATGGACATAAGGCTATACATAAAGCTAAACATTTATTACTTAAAGAAGAGGGAGACATTTATTACTTAAAAAGAGGGAGACAGAGAGACATGGAGACAGACATAGAGAGAGAGAGACAGAGACACATGTACACACACCAAGAGAGTAAAACAAGAGAGAAGGGAAGATGGCAACAAGGGAGGTCAGAAGTGGCTGGGGAGTGGGCGTGGTTAGTCCTTAAAGGCACCACAAAGGAATAACAGCCACATAAACGGAGTTTGGCAATGTTCCCTCTGGTTCTATTGTGTGTAATAATTTGAGGAGTATTGGTATTAGTTTTTTGAAAATCTTGTAGAAATATGCGCTGAAACCACCTGGTCCTGGGCTTTGTTTGGCTGGGAGACTTTGGAAAACTGTTTCTATTTCTTCAACAGTTATAGGTCCATTTAATTTGCTTATCTGGTCTTGATTTAATTTTGATAAATGATATTTATGCAGACAATTGTCCATTTCCTTTAAGTTTTCCAATTTTGTGGAGTACAGGTTTTCAAAATATGACCTAATGATTCTCTGAATTCCCTTCATGTCTGTTGCTATGTCTTCCTTTTCATTTTTGCCTTTTGGTTAGTTTGCATAAGATTTTGTCTATTTTGTTGATTTTCTCAAAGAACCAACTCTTTGTCTCATTGTTTCTTTATATTGTTTTCTTTGTTTCTATTTTGTTGATTTCAGCTCTCAATTTGATTATTTCCTGCCATTTGATTATTGTACCTGCTCCTGTGGAGGTCATTGCCTTAAGTCTGTTCTGGCAGAGGTCTTTGGCTCAGGTCTGCTTCTGTTTGGGTTGCTGCCTTGGGCCTGCTCTGGCTGAGGTTGCTGGCTTAGGCGTGTTCCTGTAGATGTCCCGGCCTTGAGCCTGCTTCCACAGAGGTCTCTGCCTTGGGCCCAGTCCCTCAGAGGTCTCTGGCTCGGGTCTGCTTCCTTGGGGCATCACTCCCTTGTACCTGTTCCTATGGAGATTGTTGCCTTGGGCCTACTCTTGTGGAGATTGCTGGATCAAACCTGTTCCCATAGATGTCCCTGGCTTGGACCTACTCCCACAGAGGTCCCTGGCTTGGACCTGCTCCCACAGAGGTCTCTGGTTCAGGCCTGCTTACTCAGTGGTCGCTTCCTTCCAGTGGAGATGATCTTCAACTTTTAACAGTGAAACATTCTCATCTTGCTTCCTCTGCACCTGGGTGATGACTGTAGATCCTTTTCCATCTTTCTAAATTGCCTTTTTATGATCTTTTCCCTCTCCCTTTCTTTTACATCCTGTCTTTTTGCTGCTCCTATATACTATCTAAGATTTTACATTACATTTAGTTATTATGTCTCTTTAGTCTACTCTCATGGGTGACAGTGTCTCAGTCTTTTCTTGTCTGTCATTTCATCGATATTTTATGATCCTCTGTTTGAGATTTCTGATATTTTCCTCATGATTACATTTGGATATGGATGTATAGGAGTTATATCCCAGAAATGAAGTATCATTCTTGTTGCTGTACCTCAAATAATCCCCATTACTAATGTCGTTTCTTGCTGGGAGGTTGACCATAATCATGTGGCCAGCATAGCTTCTCTGCCATAAAGTGACCATGTTTCCATTTCTGTACATATATTGGCTATGAGCAAACCATAGGGCCAACATACACTGACCTGAAGATTTAGGTCAATATCTCAATGTGCTTCTGTATAAGGAATAGTTGTCCATTCTACTCCATACATTTATTTATTGATGTATGATGGATTTGTTTGTAGTGAGAAACAAAATATGAATGCTGACAATTGCTCGATTATATGAAAAATAGATGACTAATTAGGCATAGTGTCACACAGCTATAATCTTGACATTTGAGGAAAAACTGGCAGAAAACTGAGTTTGAAGCAGCAAGATTATCTCTAAAGAAAGAAGTGAAGAGGCTCTATTTGGATTTCTGTGTCCCTTTTACATCTGTATGAGTATGTCCTTCCTTTATTTGGAGAAAAATTTCCAATTATTCTTTTAAGGATCATATCTGTATCATTTGATGGATTTTTATCCATCTATGCCTACAATTTGAAGATTTTGTCTTTTCATAATGACCCACAGTTCCTGAATATTCCTTCTCTTCGTGTGTTTTAACATTTTTTTCATATTTCTTGCTTGTATGGTCTAATTGTTCTACTTTATCTTTTAGTTTTTATATTCTCTCTTCTTCTTGATCCATTTTACTTGTAAGGCCTTCATTTGAGATTTATAGTTGAATTATTGGTTATTTCTATTCCATTTTTATTTTCTTCAATATTTCTATTTATTAATTAATTTTCAAATCCTGGATTGTCTTTATCATTTCATTCTGTTTGTGTTTTCTTGGCACCACTCAGGCATTTATTGGTGTCTTCAAGCTCGTTGAACTGTTTTTGCTGTCTTTTTTAAATCTTGCATTCTTTGATCATTGTTCTTTTAGATTCCTTGTCCTGAGGTTCATCTGGGTAATTTCCAAAGATCATTTCTATAGGACTGGTTGACTTAGGGTAGAGGAATACCATCTTGGAATTTCATGTTGTTTGAAATTTTGCAATAATACCTGGGCATTTGACCTTATTTCATCAGTTGTGTTGTCTGGTGTGAGATCCTAAGCTGCTGTGTTGACTGGAAGTTTCTTTTTTTTTTTTACATGCAATATTTTAGGCATGCAGGTAAAGCTATTTCGGAATCTGCTAATTTGAAGCAAGCAGCTGTATACAGATACCCCACCCCCAAAAGCGCAGCACTTTGTTACAGCTCAGCACACAGCATCCAAAACAAACAGGCATGAGACAATGAATATTTATGCAACATTAAAATCAGATGAACAACATGTAGGGTGGGAGGATGGGAAAAAATGGAAATGAAAGACCAATGTTTTGTGATGCTTCAGATGGTAATGGAGATAGTTCATCTATACAGCTGCCTAATAACTACATTTCTTATAATGTTTTCACGGATCTTTTAGTGGGAAACTGGTTTGGGTAGTTTTTTGGCATATTTAATTTTTTTCTTTTGAGACAAGGACCCTCTAGGTAGCATAGTAATTCATCTTCCTCTTGCCTCAATCTCCCAAATGTTACTAAGATAACAGGTATACACTACCATGCCTCTGAAGTTATTGCTTAATGATAATTTACTTAGGCTTTAAACTCTGAACAGTGAATTATCTGGTAGTTTTTATAATAAAATATGCTAAGTGTTATTAAAATTTTTTAGTATTTCAAAAATATACAACCATAGTTAACACAGCACTGAGTGTTTAGAAGGCTTAATATATTAATTAGGAAGCCATTAACTAATAAAATAAAAATATTTGGATATTGAAAATGAATATAAGAATTTTTGTATCATATAAGTAGGCTCAGTATTACTACTTCAAAAGAGTTGTTACTGAGCAACAGACATTTCAGGAGACTTTTGACATAGCTTTCCGATAGTTCTTAAAGGGCCTGTTTGACACTGCATAAATGTGGTTCAACATATATTGGCACTACAAAATTTCTTGAAAATTCAATGTTTTAACCTTACGCCTTATATAATTGTAACTGATCTTTTCTTTCTTTTATTGCTTCAACATACACTTTTATATGATAGTTAAACATATTAGCTCATACAAACTGTAAGATAATCTTAGTGTTAAATAAAGCTTGGTTTTCTTCAACAGTGGACTAAATACTGTGATACTGCTAATTTTCCCTGAGTTCTTAACTGTATTTTCTTTGGTAAATTTGTGATTGCCCAGCCTTTCTGTTATACTCTCGTAAGATTAATTACAGATGGTTTCCTAATGAAAACTTGTATGTGTTTAGGATATTAAAATATTCACAGTCATATTTTGTCAAGAAGAAACAGTGGTAGACAGAAATAAACTACATATCAATATCATATACAGAATGAAAATGGAATTAGGAATGTGCACAAAAAAAATACAGTCACAAAGGTACTAGCTCTAAGATGCTTTTTATCTTTTTACAGGAGAATTAGTCACCAAGCTGAGGACATTTTCTTTCATAAGTATATCAGTTCTCTATTTCCTCTGAAATTCTGCATAGTCGATGAGCAGTCATTTAGTACACAGGGACATTAAAATATTCATGGCGTGGCTCCTGCAGGAGATCAGCCTGTTCAATTGCTTTAAGGACATTTTTCTTGGACGTTTCCTGAACTTCTCCTCCCAAAAGAAATTCATCCAAAATAAAATAGGCCTTCTCAAAATTAAAGATGATATCAAGTTCACACACACTGCCAAAATACTTGTCAAGTAATTCCACGTAATGATGGATTATTTCCAGGGTAATCAGTTCATTGTCCTTATCCTCAATAGCACAGCAAAAATATAAACTGGCATATCTTTTATAAACAATCTTCAGATCTCTCCACTCCAGGAAGCTGTACATCTTAGGTTTCCGAGCTAAAACGGTTTGAACAAGTTCTCTTGTGATCTTCTTCTTCTCTTTGTCTGAGAGTGGGACATACCATTTCTGCAGCCGCAGCTTTCCCTGACGACTAAAAAGCAACATAAACTGCATGGCGGCCGTGGGCCGCGGACGCGGCGGAGCTTGGCTGGCTGCGGAGACCGAGGCAGCGGCGGCTGCTGAGGGGAAGCCCCCGT